TTGGATGGGGGCAGGCTACACACACAGCTGCTATTCATCGAATTGGGGCGGACTGCTCACGTGGCTGCTGATCCTTGGATGGGGGCTGGCTGCACGTTGCTGTTGTTCCTCTGATGTGGTGGGCTGCTTGTGGGGCTACTGCTCCTTGGACTTGGACAGGTTGATTGCAAGTCTGCTGCTCCTCGGACAGGGGTGGGATGCTTGCATGGCTGTTGCTCTTTGGTCAGGAGTGAGCTGCACGTGTGGCTGCTCCTCCTCAGACGGGGATGGGCCACTCACTCGGCTGCTGCTCGTTTTACAGGTGCAGGCTGTTGTGGCTCTGCTCCTCGGACCGGTGCTTGCTGCGCAGGGCTGCCACTCCTCAGATGTGGGTGGTCTGCTTGTGTGGCTGCCGCTCCTCCTGAATAGGGATGGGCTGCTTGCAGAACTGCTGCTCCTCGGATGCAGCGGGCTGCTCACACAGCTGCTGTTCCTCAGATTGGGCAGGCTGCTCATGCGGCTGCTGCTGCTGCTTGGACGAGGGCAAGATGCTTGCGCAGGTGCTGCTCCTCAGACTAGTGCAGGGTGAAGGCTGTATGCAGCTGCTGCTCCTCGGATGGAAGCAGGCTCTGCAGGGCTGCCGCTGCTCAGATAGGTAGACTGCTCGTGCGGCTGCTGCTCTTCAGACAGTTCAGACTGCTTGCATGGTTGCTGCTCCTTGGATGGGGAAGTGGGCCGTTTATACAGCTGCTGCTCCTTGTACAGGGGCAGGCCACATGAGGCTGCTGCTCATGGGGCTGATGCTCCTTGGACAAGAGCGTGCTGCTCACGTGTCTGCTGCTCATGTGGTTGAAAAAATAATGTGAAAAGAAGTAGGAAATAAAGCAACAAACAAAAAAAGGAGAACAAAGAAAAAAGCAAAAAAAGAGAGCAACAAACAAAAAAAGGAAAAACAAAGCAAAAAGCAAAAAAAAAAAGCTAACAAAATAATAATAAAAAATAAAAATGGAAAATTGAAATGTCATTCCTTTGGCTGGCTTAAAATCTCAGTTTTCTGGAATGTGTCTAGATCTATTTTTTAAAAAATCCTCAGCTAGTTTGCCAAACACTTTTCCCAGGTGGATATTCCTTCCTCCCTCCCTTCCTTCCTCCCTTCCTTCCTTCCTTCCTTCCTTCCTCTTGTTCATTTTTTTACCATTCTTAGCCAGATGCTAGGAATGTAGCAGTCAACAAAGAAGTTAAGATCCTTATCAATTGAACCTGAATTGACTAGAATATCTGCTGTGTGTTCTTAGCTGAGACACTCATGTAGTATATGTGCTGCACAGGAAAGCAGCGAGCTTGTGGAGGCCGCACAGAGGTCTGACCGCCCTCTGAGTGTTAGGGAGATATACATTGTTATGGAGACAGGCAGCTTCTGCTTCCCGTCCCCCCGCGCCCTCCCCCGCCCCCACAAAAAAAAACCAGGAGAAAAAAAGGAAAGGAAGTCATGTTATATAGATCTAGCATGTACTGTTATGGGAAGATTTTTAGAATCTACTCCATATTAGTGAATAAGATAATCGGAACACCAAACAATATGCATATCTGATTCTATAGGGGTTTCAGCACCTGTAAGAGTTTATTCCAGATTCTTAGCAGCTTTTCAAGAATGGGGTTATGGGAGAGATTTTTATTTTCTACTTAATGTATTTTTATTGTATTGGTTGGCATCTTTACAAGTGTGTACTCTAGTCATGACTTTTCAAACACCTAATTGCACTTGAGGAAAGCCTTTGTTCACAACTAAAATGGGGCACACGGTGAGGTGGCGAGCTTCCTGTGATAAGGGGCATTCAAGCAGGAGCAGGAGGAGCAGGAAGCAGAAGCTGTGATGGGAGGTGGACCAGTCATCTCTGAGAGCCAGAGCTTCACCGAGGACTCATCCGTGCAAGGACTTGCTTTGTGGCTGGGGAGCCAGTGGCCTCAGCTGCTGGGATGTGGCTTCTTGCTGCCCTGAGTGGGGCCCTGCGTCTCTGAGCTACTCCTGTGCACATGTCCTGGGGTTAATTGGATGCGTTGCCTCTCCTCCAGGGCACTGCCATCTGTGGGTATTGCTGGCGAGACAGGGGCTGTGCTCGGGCCATGTTCTATATGGGGACGCCGGCAGGGAAGGAGCGGGAGGGAGTGACAACGTGGCCCCGCCTGCCCCCTGTGTTGATAAGGGCCCTGCTTCTCGCCCTGCAGGCGGGCCATGGCGCTTTTCTGGAGGGCCCTGCTGTTGGCAGGCTCCTGTGTGTCTGCAGTCCAGGGCTGGCCGGCGGAGGACAGCGAGGAGGACATGGACATCCTGCCCCAGCCCCTGCACATCGCACAGGAAGGCCACCTGATGGTGCTGACGCCTGCAGGTCTGACCCAGATGCTCAACCAGACCCGCTTCCTCCTGGTGCTGTTTTGTGAGTGCCCACTCCTGGGGGCAGGGGTGGTGGAGGTAGACTGCCTGCTTGCTCCTGGAGGACAGGGGAGTTTATATATTGCTACACACGAGAACGCCCATGTGTATGTAACCTCACTCCCCATCCCCAGAGGAGAGCACAGGCACAGGGAGATGGCATCTGCGTTTGGGTGAGCTTTTCCCCGGCCCCTCCTGTGCTCCATCAATGAAGCAGAAGGGAAGGCCTTCCTGAGAAGGGGACAGTTCATGAAGGCCTGGGGCCGGCAGGCAGCAGTCCAGGTGTGATCTGGGAGGAAAGCTTTTCTGGCAGCAGAATCAGCAAGTGCCAAGGCCCATAGGCCGAAAGTGCCAGGCGCTGCAGCTGTGGTGAAGAGCAGAGTGTGGGGAGCAGGGTTACAAGGACGAGCAGCGGAGCCGAGGCCGTGTGGGCCATGGCAATGGCGAGGATTTGTTGGCTAGCTCCGAGGAATTAGAAGGGTCGATGCCCACCGGAAGGCCTCACCCCTGGGAGCACCTGGCACACAGTAAAGTGCCCTGTGGGTAGGAGGAGGGCTATTCTCAGAACACTGTTCCATGTGTGAGCTGGAGCCTGGTCTCCAACATGGTTTCCCATCCTCAGCGATATGGGCTCTGTTGCTGGACAGCTCTTAGTTGTGTGCTGGGGGTGGGGGGGTGGGGGGGGGCGGGTAATGCCCCGGCATTGTGGGAGGTTTAGCAGCACCTTCAGTGTCTTCCCACTAGAGGCAGTGACACTCCAGCTGGGATGAGCAGACATGTCCCCAGACATGGCCACCACAGTCTGAGAGAGGGGACTCCAGCTTCCTGTGCTGGGAGCCAACCTCCAGTCCCTGCTCTCACCACTCCCCCAGTTCCTCCCCCAGCCCCTCCCTCAACTTGCACTGGTGCTCAGGAGCGGGGAGGGCTTTCTGCCAAAGGCAGGCAGGCCCTCTCTCTAGG